GCAAAGGTCTGAGAATCGACCCTTGGGGGACGCCACAAGTGATATTTTTCATGTCTGAGATTTCGTGGTTAATTTTGCAAGCTTGTTTTCTTTCTGTTAAGTAAGATATAAGCCATGATAATGTTTTTCCTCTTATTATGTAAAGTTCTATTTTAGAAATTAGTATTTTATGATCCACCGTGTCAAAGGCTTTCTTAAGGTCCAGAAACAGTAGACCATTAATCAAGCCCTTGTCCATGTTTACAAGACATTGGTTTATAGAATGTAAAAGTGTAGTATCTGTAGAGTGCTGGGTACGAAAGCCTGATTGATTAGGTGATAGTAATTGGTTAGCTTCTAGAAATTGGCTCAATTGTCTGTGAATTAATTTTTCGAAGATTTTTGCAACCGCTGATGTTACTGAAATGGGTCTATAGTTCCCACAATCCGTTTTTTCTCCTGATTTATAAATAGGGGTAACCTTTGTGTATTTTAATCCATATGGGAAAATTCCTGTGTTTATTGATAGATTAATAATATAAGTCAAGGGAGTAATAATGGTTTCTCCTGCTGCTTTGAGAAGTTTATTTGAAATTTTATCAAATCCTGCTGATTTCCCATCTTTAGCTAGCCCCAGTTCATTTCTTAGATCTGCATTAGTAATGTTATTTAAGTTGAAAACTTCTGAGGTAGGTGTTATATAACTGAGAGGGTCAATTTCACTTGCAGGTAAGTCCTCGCTTAATTTTGAGCCAATTGTTGAAAAGTAAGTATTAAATTCTTCTGCTATATTTTTGTCTCCTATTATTTCGGCTTCACCAGTTTTTAATTCATTTAGTGTAATAGATTTTGAATTTTTGTTCAGTAATTCATTAATTGTTTTCCATTCTTCCTTACTGTTTGCTAATTTCTGCTTATAGTATTTAGTCTTAGTGTCTTTAATAAGCTGATTTACTTGGTTTCTACAATCCTTGTATAATTCGTGATATCTTGTTGAAGTGTGCTTAAAAATGTAGAAAAGCGATAATTTTAACATAACCGCAAGATTGCCTAGGTTCATAGATATTTGAAATTTCATCCTGGAGAGAAAGATTGAATCTATACTTCACCAGTTCCTGGTCCAATAGTACTATCGTATTTTTTTTTCACATGAATTTGTACACTCTTTCTGTAAGATTTCGAATGGATAACCTGGCCTTTTGATAAATGTGGCAGTGTGATTTTAATATTTGTTGATATAGACTGATTAATTTCAGAGCAGAATATGTACCTGTGTAGAATGTTGTTTGATAACAATTACAAGGCAGATTTCGATACAACTATTGTAGATGTAACTAATAAAATCAGAAGAATTTGTTAGTTGCAGCTTAAAATGATGAAGAAAATTATGGAACAAAAGTGAACGAAAAAAAAACCTGGTCGTAAATCTAGTTGGAGCACTCATGCTATCAATGACTTCATCGATATAATAGTAAACAATGATTATTACAAAAGGAAATTAATCTTCACAAATACTAAGAAACCAAAAGAATGGATTAATTTATCAAAAGATTCTTGATGAGTTGAAAAAGAAAGCTTTGGATAGACATGAAGTAATTGAATTTACTGTCCCCCAGTTAAGATCCAAATTTGAAAAATGTGTGAGTGAGTGTAAGCAGGTAGCTTTAACTCTGAAAACAGCAACTGGCATCAAGAGATTTATTGAGGATTGTGGTTTTGGAAAGTGGTTCAATGTATTATTTAAATTTTGTGAAATCTAGAGACTCCTGCAAGCCTGAACTAGCATTGGAGCCTTCAACGTTTGAAAAGCAGTCAACTGATGACACAGGTAAAGATAATGGGAAGGAAGGAATGTTTGTCCCAGTTAGAAAGAAGCAGAAAGTTAAAACAGCTGATAGACTTGGAGAAACTACTATTGAGGCAATGAATGTTGTAAAGGAGACTCTTAAAAAAGATCTAATTGCTTTCATGAGAGAAGGCAATTAAAACTGGTTGGTCTTATGCAAAATTTTAGACAAAATAGCATACCATACCAATTTCACAGCAATTCTCACCTGTTGCTGATACATCTTTTGAATAAAGTGCACCAGCCAGTACAAGTTATTCAGCATGGAATATAGCAATTGGTCAGCATAACCAATCTGCAGCTTACCAAACTCCAGATGTTACTCTCATCAGTCCTTCAAGGTCACAGGCAACACCAAATGGATTTCATTGTGAAGGAGAAAAAACCTTTTGGAAATTGTAATATGCAAAAAACATGAAACAGAAGAGTACATGTTCAAGCTAATTAAGCTTTGTTGCTTGTTTGGTTGGAGTTTTATGTGTATGATAACTTGTAATCATATAGTTTTTGGTTTATATTGATTGCACATATACAAAGTGTATAAGAAATGCTGGTCTTTCAAAATCACCCATACCCTGTTGTAGTAATTCTTTTAAACAGCACAAAGTATCCTTGAGTATGAATAGAGCTGTCAACTTTGCATAATAGGTTTATGTCTAAATTGAATTTCAACAACTAGCTTTTTTATTATATGTACTGTGTAAGTTTCAAATTAACTATTTAATTGTTCAGTTTCATAAGTGTTCTAACTGACATTAATGTGTTATGACCTATGTTGATATTTTTTTGTAACAAAATAAAAAACAAACTATTTACAGTTATAGGTTCAGAACTTTGTTCATGTCAAGTTAAGAAACATTTCCAGTTTCTTTCTCTAACCAGACCTTTTGACAAAGTGCATCTCTAACTTGGTTTGCTGAAACACCATCATCTCTAACTTTTTGACAAGCAGTCATTTGCAATAGATCTCTGATCTCATCTCGGTTTCACTTTTTTAAGGTATCATCAGGGTTGAAGATAAGGTCGAGTTTCTTTGAAAGGGAATCCCTCTTCTCTATACAAATGTTGTGTAAGACATTCATTTGTATGAAGCAGCACCGTCCATCTTCCTTTATTTGATAGTAGTAGATCGTAGGCGCATTCTGTGACCATGCGAGATCTATTTAACCTATAATTAAAGTACTTCTGCTGAGGCCTTAAAACGGCATTGGTGTATGGCTTCATAAGCCATGTTCGAAGAGGGAAAGCAGAATCTGCCACAATCAGTGGCGGAATATTTACGTTACCCACGGTTTTCCCTACTTCAGGAATAAAGCCTTCTTGGATTGATGACCAGAGATTCGTGGACTGAAGAATTATTGAATCGTGAGAATTACCTGGGAATCCGCAACCTCCCCAAACAAAGTTATAATGAGAATCGACCAGGGCCATAAGAACAATTGAATTGAAGTTTTTAAAATTGTGGTATTCTTTGGATGCCTCTTGACCGCCAGGTGGACATTTTATGGAAATGTGGCAACCATCATCAGCAGCCCAACAACAGGGGAACTGCCACAACTCTTCCATGTCCAAAATCTTATTTTTAAATTCCTCCAGCGATTTTGGCGTATGGCTGGATATTGCACCAGCCCATAAATGTTCTACGAGAATCTGACATACCTCTTTGACAATGGAACATACAGTGGAAACTCCAATTCCCACCCTTTCGGCAATTGTGTAGTAGTAGTCGCCTCTTCCCAATCGAGGCATATACCTAGCCTTAGCTCAGGAGCAATTGGGTCTTCAGTAATTGTTCTGCATGGTATATAGGGTTTAATTCGGTTTAAAATATGCGTAAATGTCTGGCGAGATATTCTGAAGGTTTTCTTGGAGTTTCCCATACTTTTCCCCACCAACCAGTATTTTGTCCAAGCCTACGGCAAGTACGAAGGCCTCTGGAAATTGAAGTACTTCTCCTCATTACACTTAATATCATAACCAGGACACAAATCGTTAGATTTCTTCTGTTGGCTACAGTGCGATTCACACTCAAACAGAGTAAAAGACGTCTTTGGTTTTGTTTGATTAGATTTAATATAAATTGCAGCGTCATATCTGAATGATCTTGATGTCCAGCAATTTACACAATTTTGGGTAATTAATCACATGCTCAGCCTTAATCCTATGGCCTTAATCGAATAAAGAATAGAAAGCATGGGTTTCTTATCTTGTCTTCATACTGCTATCAATAAAAGTGTTATTTATAACAAAACTAATTTCAAGCCAAAACAAGTAAAGTGCTTGGAGGCGTTTCATAAAAAAAAAGACTGTGCTTTTCACCTACAGGTTACGGAAAATCATTGATATACCAATTGCTGCCATCATTGCTGAACGAAAGAAATAACTTGAACCAAATATGATTAGGTTGTGAATTTTTGTTGTTTCATCTCTAAATTCTCTCACCCCTGATCAACTAACAGGGCGCGAAATAACGACAGGAAAGGACCAGTCAAGATGACCGGGCAAACCAATTTTGCTCGGACATCATGCATTTCTAGACGGACAAACTTTTTTGCTAAAACTAAACCTACAAAGTTTTTGGGTGGCTTTTTGACTAGCCTAAGTATAAAAGACAAAAAATGAGCGAACAGGTTTACGGTAAGCCGTAACTGCAAATTGCGAAAGAGTAAAGTTAAGTGGTGCGAGATTAAAACGAAATTCTTGTTAGTAGCATCGTCATGTCTGCATGACGACGCGTGTCAAAGCTAATAGAAAGTTCTTTATTGTTAGCTCTCATATGTGTACTCAAAGACTGAGGTAATGTAAGCTAACAAAAGTAGCTTCTCGCGATGGTAACCTCCATATATTCAAACAGCTAAAACAAGTCAAACTTCTTATAGATGAAGAAAATTGCAGTGAACATTATGTTAAATAACAATAAACATTAACTAAAATTTATCATGATGATAAGTTAGTCCGACCTAATAATAGTAGTCGATAGCTAGTAGCACTCAAGCATGTCATTACTATTAATAGACTATAGTCTACTTTGCACTAGGTTAGGTATATACTTACTTTAATATACTACAAGTAATTAGTAATTTTAATACACGTAATGATAACATAACAGTGAACAATTCAGTTAAACTAAACACTACGCTATATAATCTCGGCACAATCTCTATTGTTTCGAGCACTATCTCGGATTGGTGAACTTGGTGATCAAACCCTCCTCTTCTTCCTCGGACTCTGCACTTTCTTCTGTAGATGTATCGTCAATCAACACTTTTCTCTTTTTGTTAGAATGTATGTACTTTGCGCATGTACTCTTTGCGTCGTTTCTGGTGAGGTCGACGTGTGGTAATATTCGCCCACAAGTGGATAGCTGACGTCGGGTCATATTCTTCAAATTTTGGGCCTTCCATACTTATTCTGATCAGGCTGTTTAGAGTACCCTCGCCAAGTGTTGCGCGGGAATCTGTTTTGATACGATTCATCAGCGAAAACAACCGTTCAACTTTCGCATTGGATATAGGGATTGAGAACAATAGTTCTGCAAGAGCAATACCATGGTCCAACCTTCGCTCCGACTTGAATCAAAGATTCGTCTCCATACACGTAGGTAAGGTGCTGTCGAGGGGCTGAGATAGCGTGTTGTGTATTCGATTACACTGTGCCACTGCTCCAGCAAATCACTCAAGGACCCATCTAAGCCAGCATTTGAAAGGGGTTTCTGGAAGTGGGTATAGAGTTCTGCCACGCATTCATCTGCGAATAGAAGATCCTTTTTGCCCTCTTCATCCATTCTTTCCCACCCTTCAGTATTTAGAACGGTACAAGCAAAGATGACCAGTCTATTCTCTGCAACCTCCAACCTTGCTTCCACGGCTTGCTTGACTTTGGCCAATAATATATTCTTCAATTTTCCTGCAGACTCCTTTGCATCTTCAAAGGACTTCAGAACAACATTTTGGTACAAAAATGCTTCATTTGACTCTTCGACTTTGTCAAGAAAGCGTGAAACGGTCGGAAGATCTTCAAATTCTTTCTTCTTGATGCGTATAAACTGCTTTTTAGCTTTTTCCAGTCGTGACAGTGAGGCAACTGTATCAATATCTTCATCTTGGAATGCTAGTGACAACACCTTTGCAGGGCTGAGGATTTCGATGAAGAGACATGCCAGGAGCGGTATTCGTGCATACTGCCACTTATTTAACCACCCTTTGAATTTCTGGCGATCAGCAGCTTTGAAGGACGTATCTTCTGACATGTTTTGAAGATGCTGCATGTTAGATGCTGCATGTTTTGAAGATGCTGCGTTATCCAGCGTGTCCCTGTGAATACGCGTATATAAGAAGTTTATATCAAAGGAAGTAAATATTAGAAGTTTATTCCAAAGGAAATAAATAATGAAACCATGAATAAACTTACCAGATGCTCGTTTTGGTCGTACCCCTCCTTCTTCAAATTCAAATGTCTCGCGATAAATGCCATGTAACTCACGCAACTGTCTCAATTTCTTGGAGGAATTTTCGTAGAGGTAATAGAGACGCAACAGCACTTGATCGACGTCATCAAAAGACGTACCCTGTAGCGCATCTTTGAGAGCAAGCTCTAGTCTATGAGCGACACACCAGACATAAATCGCCCACGGATGGCTATTTTTGAGGATGCTGATGACTCCATTCTTATCCCCTCGGTTTACGCTAGCACCGTCAGCAGCGAACCCTATTAACTTCTTATTGAAGGTTTCATCATCGATGTCTATGTTCTTAAAACTGCTTCTTATAGCGTCTAAAATCCCAGCGGCATTACCGTGTTTTAAATCCGCCAAGTTAAGGAATGATGTAACTACTTGAACTGTATCTCGACCTGGAGGTTTTTTGTCTAAATGCTGCACAAATATGGCTTCCTTTTCAGTTGTAGACGCGTCCTCTGAGCCATCTGACAAGACACTGAAAAATTTTACATTGAGTAATTTCTCCTGAAGTTTTTTTCCAAAATCCTGGGCTATGTGATTAATAAAAATGTTACAGCTCTTATCGCTGCGATAGGAGTTGCCGATCTCAACGCCATGCTTTTCTTCTAGCTTTAAAAGTTTGGGAAACTTTTTCAATGGAAGTTCTTCTTTTGCAATGAAGTATGCAACTTCGAATTTTTTTTTTGTCTTAGCAAAATCATTGGCTTGCATGTTGGCAATACCAAGGGCAATGTTTTGTTGTCCGGGAATACTTTTTTCCATAAACTGAATCACTTCTCTGTCCATGGCATTTAGTCCTTTCTCACTTAGATACAGGTCCATTGCTTTCTTATGAGGTTCTCCGCGTGCATGGTCTTCCGCATTGCTTAACCGGAGGTTTGTCGAACCTGTAAATGCCCAAGCAATGGAAAAATTTTTCATGCCTTTTAAACGGTCGGCGTAGGTTTTGCAAACGGAACAATTCAAGCTAGTTACACAATCAGCATTGTCTACATTCAGTACAAGCCAGTCACTCGCCATGTAGGATGCTAGGCATGTCGCTTTCCATCGATTAGCTGTTGCTGCTGTTAAATTTCGTGATTTATTGGTCGTAAGTGCTCTTTGTCCTGATTTTGACTCAGACCGGCACCGCAGAGGTTCTTTTGTCAAAGTCCTCGGTTTAGTATCATCTAGCGCTTTCTCTTTATTTCCTGATGAGGTTTTGTCACCCTTGATAAAAAAGGAGGACAGTGTGGATTGTCGAGATTTGTGTAAGACTTGAGTTTCAGAAAATGCTTGTTTTTTGCTGCTACTTGCAGGTTCCTGACATTCTTCACATTTTCCAACAAAATAGCTCTGCTCGCTGTAACCAGGCGTTCTCTCGGAACAAGCCATAGAACAAACATTGCAAATTGGAATTTTGCACCCTATACAACGATATTTGATGTTTTTTCGATTACATTTAACACATTCCATATTCAATGTACAAAGGAACCCATTTGTTGTCCAATACGCTGGGTGAAAATGCAAAATCGCAGATTTAGAATATTAAAAATACATAATATGCAATACGCTTGCCCAGCGGTCTTGCTGGTAAGGTAGCCAAAATGTTCAGATAACATGACGTACTTACACTAAAGTTCAAAATGGCGGGTTATTGAGCGATTAAGATATATATTTATAAGAGCATACAATGTTCGAGATTTTCAATGTGATATCGAACTGTGGTGTAAATTCTATTGAGAATGATGAAAAACGAAGATGAAGGAATATTACTAAGTAATCTCCCTTGTCGGAAAATTAATTTCGATTAAATGGGCGGTCAAAATGACCGGTCACAAGAAAGTTTGGCCGGACAAATGCTCATCTTGGCCGGACGTTGTCCGTTGATCGGCCGTTATTTCGCGCCCTGACTAAGAAAGCTAAATAACAAGGCGGATTTGAAGGCAGTATTTCTTGAGAAAGATTTCACCAGTTTCTGTGAGGCACCTGATATCAAGGATGCATTGTTAGACATGTTTTGACATCCAGAGGCATGTTTGTCGTCTAATGTTTGAAAATTTGTTCCAAACTAATAACTGACTGATTTTACTGAATGTTTATTATTCAATTTAATATGTTCACATGCCACTAAACATTAAATATTTTTATGTTTCAGGGGTGATGATTTTAGGACTATCTTGGTATGCTGTGCTCTCTTTTCCCATCAGTTCCAGTTTTAGCACTAACTGCAACTGCATGCAAAAAAGATAGAGAAGTAATAAAGAGCACCTTGCACATGAGGAATCCACTGGAAGTTGTAGGAATAGAGAGTTGTAGTAATAAAGATTATCAAGTACGGTTTTGCCGTACTTTTCATAATTGTAAAAAGTACTCGTAATCGCTGGGACACTGTTCTTTTAGCTCACTTCTCTCCTTGTCTGTCCCTTTTAGAAAAAGTAACAAATGATTCCTTCTTTCTTGATAGGCATGATCACTCGATCCCCTGTAAAGTGATATGGTTGTCCCCATACAATAAGTACTGTCAACACGCTCGATATATTGCTTCAATGCTGCTTCTAAGTTCTCGTGATGTTTGTCTCACTAATTCGCCCTTCTTTGTCATATGGTTCTCCACGTAAGGTTGATGGAATAAACAAATTGAATCCACTTGTGCTGGCTTTGAAGAGCAGTCTGATATCCTTCATTCTTTGATCGTTCTTGTTCGATGGATAGCTGCTTGAGCATCAAAATTCTGCATTGATTTCTTTATCCCACCTGCAGCTTTACTTGCTCGCTCTATTGCTTTGTCCGTCTTGTTGGCACCCATGTTCTTGATGATCTGGCTTCAAATCTCTGTAAAAATTCTCTTGCATGAGATCAATCTCCAAGTTCTTTCCCTTGCCTCCAGTCCAGTTTGCGGCTGCTGCCTATGTGCATTGGTAAACTTCTTCCTCAGTAAGTAACACATCATTCCGCATAATACTAATAAGCATCTCAATCCCATAGGCATTGTATCCAGGATCAGTTTTGAAATGATGTAGTAGTTGTTTATGAAGTGAGATTATTTCAACTGAAATTGTCATGTACACAGTATAACATCTTATAATAAAATTTAAATTATTAATTTATAACAAAAATGTTATAAATTGATTGAAAAAATATGCATGCACCTAAATTATTTCAAACAGGTTTCATTACCATGAAAGACTAATTTGAACTGCATGCAAAGTTTTGGATACACTCTATATAATAGGGAATTTATCAAATGAATCTACATGTATATTTGCTCCAGGCAGATCTGGATGAAATGTTGTTCCAACAGGGGGACCAGGAATAACAACAGGAACACTAGATTTGTTTATTACACCAGTTTAAAGTGCCTATATCAACCTCAGGGAAATAACCTACTTAGATAGATTAGACGATTTTAAGAACATTTGCAATATATTTGATAAGTCGAAAATTTTATCTTCATGTACTTTTCGGGCCTCAAATTTGGCTTTTTTTTGTGTTTGACCGTGACGTGCTGTGAGTGGGAACTAGTTGCCCTTTTTCACCGGAAGTGACGTACATTGGAGAACACGCTAATTTTGTAAACAAGAAAAGCCTTCTTGTCTGTGATAAAGCCATATCACGGATGGCGCATCAGCATTATAAGGGTTTTAGCTTGCGTTTCCAGTCCCTGTCTTTTGGATTGTCTATGGTAACATCCATGTCAACAGCTTTCACTTCTTTTGTTGCATTTGCAATGGCTTGAGAACATTCAGTTTCATCTTTAGTGAAATACAAGCAAACATATGTTATGCAATTGTAGTGATTGAATACAGGTTGCAAGTCAACATTTGCTGCAAATCCCTTAATGCCAACAAACAAAGTAGTTGTTGATAAAACAACTATCCCTTGGTCTTTAAAGGTGCAACTCAAAATCAGAGAGAATATTGATAGAGCCCAATAATTTTCATCCTCAGTGATACCTATCAAATTTAGGATATCTGTATCATTTAATGTTTCATTATATGCTGGCTTAGATGGATCTATGTGATATATCATAGGTGATGTGATATTTCAGAGTCTTCATCTAGGTCATCATTAAGAGGTTTAGCTACTATTGTGCTTTTACTAAAAAATTGACCAAAATTAAATCTGCAACTGATATTTTTGTACTTCCTGCAAGTTTTAGAATGATTGTGCTTCTGATAAGTTTTAACAAATTCATGTAACTCTGGTTCTTTTTTCTCATCTGGAATATAGGCTTGTACATGGTTATCTATAAATTGAATGTAAGCTTCCTTGCCAGGCGGTGTACGAACTGGCGTCTCAATGCATGACGGGCGAAAATCGAATTCATCTCATTTGCATGTCGGCCACGGTTGAGTGAACATGTCAGCACCTCATTAACACTTTGTTTACTAATATCGGAATTAATGGACTACTAGCTTTTGTTAAGAAATTCAGGAAGGAGTGTAATTTGAAAGCTGGTCAAACTGCAGCAATAGATGCATCATGTTGGATACACAAGGCTTTATGTGTATCTATAAAACAAACTGGGAATTGCATAACGTTAGTCATTAGTTACTATTATAGTCATACGATCATGATCATTCGAAATACTGAATGTCTGACTATATAGTCATTGTCAATGAGTGCTAAAAAACTGTTCGTACTAATAGATTTGGTGATATTTTCGAGGCACATTTACAGATAGTGAAAGAATCGGGTGTCGTTCCGTTCGTTGTATTCGATGGATTTGATTTACCAGGCAAAGCGATTGAGCATGAGAGAAGACAAAGGTGAGTTCTGTTCAGTCATGGATAGGTTAATTAAATGTACCCGACATTTGACTTTAACAACAAAAATTTAAACAGACATATTTTTAAAAAATGCAAACAAAGAACGAGAGCAGATTCTGAAACAAGCTGAGGGGCAAAATATTACCAAAGATGAAGCAAATCGTATATATAGCCGGGCAGCATCAATTACATTTGAAGATATTATGGTTTGTGTCAATGTAAGTAAATGGTAAAGTGCTATATTTTTAACTCTATAACTCTATTGCACCCAGTGCATCTTTTACAGTATATACATTGTTTCTTTTTAATTAGATATGTTTAGCAGAATGTGTGAGGTACATTGTATCACCCTATGAATCGGATGCACAAATAGCCCATATGGTATGTCATGGTCATGCAGATTTTGTTATCACAGAAGATTCAGACCTTCTGGTGTATGGATGTGAAAAGGTTTGTTATTGTATATATTCCAGTCAGGATGTGTTGGCACCTGGTTTGCATATAAAATGTTTCTTTTGGAAAATTAAAACTATTTAAACCCTCTTAAAACTATTCAAGTTTTCCTTTTTATATTTTTAACAAGACGCCGATCTGCTAGTAACACAACATTTTCCATTTGCTGCATTTAACAATTGCTTTAATTGTGTTCTAGGTACTGGTTAAGCTGAAAATGAGCGGAGATGGAGAATGTTTTACTTTGTGTGAAATATTAAATGGTTTGAACCTAAACCATAAAAAGTTCAAGCAAATGTGTATAGCTGTTGGTTGTGATTATGTCAAGAATTTGAAAGGTGTTGGCATACCGCCTCATACAACAACCAAATGAGGACTTGTGCGAACTACTTCTAAAGAAAGCAAAAACACAGGAATATAAAGACCATTTCATTGGAGCTGAAGCTATTTTCAGACACCAAACTGTTTTTAATCTGGATATTTTATCAACAACCCCTTTACATGAATGTGAGACTGCATTATCTGCAGTTGTTCAACATCTCTGTGGAGAGTATCCATGCTTAAATTATTGAAATGTCATAACGATTGTGTTATAATGTAATATTATTGACAGGTAATAGTTCAGTTGCATTATTGTCCTTAATAATTAACATAATAAAGTTTGCTGGATGATTTATATGCCAAGGAAATGGTGGTTGGAAATGTAAACACAAAAAATAGGGAGAAAATAAATAACTATCCAGTTATGGTAGGTAAAGTATTAAATGACATGCATTTTACATTAATTTGTGTGTTAAATAAGATGTTTATGTAAAA